AGCAGCTCACAGCCTAATAGATCATTTTTTGTTACACTCCATTGTTCAGAACATCCTCTCCGATGCCTAAGAAAAATGTAAGAACTATAGAAAAAGCATTTGCCATGTGCTTTCACCCGGCCGGCCGTATGATTGATCACACGCAACGAAGGTAATAGGAAGACTGAATCGGAGATTTATGGCTTCTTTAAAATATAATTGTTTTAATTTGAGGATGGCATTTTATCAAGATTTGTATGAAGCCGCCATAAGATCTAAACTACACAATTTAATGAAGTCAAAGATTAATAAGGAGAAGATTATTCCACAAGTGGAAGCTCTCCGCCAATCAAAACCGAATCGGGTTACTCCTCGCTAACGTGATGGCTCTGGTGAGCAAGACTGATAGTCCAGCCCAACGATCTCTGCTCCTCCCGGAGGCCCCTAGCCCCTTTCCTCCCCACTACCGCCCCTCACCAGTCAGATGCTCAATTAATCAGATGCTCAAATCGCGTGGTAACGAGCAGGCCATAAGGACCTGGATAGAGCAGAATCGAGGAGAGATCTGCTTCCCTACAGCAAACAGTGAAGCCAGTTTCTACTTTCAGTCTGATCTTGCCCCTCTCTCATAACTTCCCCAACATGAATCGCACCCATCTCTCATTCTGCAAGGCTCGTTTTGCTTCCTCCCGTGGTACCACCACTCTCCTCCTGCCCACTCCTGAACGGGACTCCCACGCATCATCCCACGCGTCGATGGGACAACGGTCTCGTGCAGCGCGTGATATAGTACGATGACGTTCCTCCATATAACCACCCCCAGGCTACAAAGCATTGTTGTCCTGTTTTACTGGCTCAGGAAGTGATTTCAGAGCCCTGATCAACTAGCAAATCGTGTCTACAGGACGCAACTTCCCTTCCTACCTGGTAAGATCGGGGCAATTATGGAATATGATGGGTGTGACCCTGCTACCCTTGCTCAAAGTCTCTCTTTCCAGGCCCGGTTAGAGGAGCATTAAACGTAGAGAGACACTGAAGCAGCAGTTTTGTCCAGATCCTTCACAGAACATTTGTGGTCAAGAGAAAAAAAAAAAAAAAGAAGAAACAAAAATCAATCTTCTCTCTGGCTTTCAGATAAATGGGCAATATTTGTAGTGAATGCAGTAACAGAGGGAGAATGGTCATTTTAACAAGACTGTCTGTACCACATAAAGAAAGAGGCAACTGTTTCCACCGAGATAGGTTCAACTTAATGGATTTAAATAAAGGAGCAAGAGGCGATCAATACTGCTGGTTCAGGAAGGAAAAAAAAGAGAGAGAAACATTCTCCAGATATACCTAACTTAACAGAGGAGGGAGCAACTTCCAGGCTGATGGCAATGTAATTGCATTGGTTAGGGGCAACTACGGACTTAGTACAGTTCACTCGGGGGTCTCTGCCATTCAGAATACCTGGAGAGACCTGGCAAATTGTCACTGCAAATGGCAGAGGTTAGAGTAGACAACCCCTGGTTCTGAACCCCTTAATACTGACAACTGACCTGAATAGGGACAGACCAATTTAATCTCTTGACAAAGAGGCATCAGGACTTACCTTCACCACAAACCTCGATTTAACATTGGAGCAAATCTGGACAGGACTTAACCTGAACAGTTTCCTGGGCTGTTATTCTTCCTGTGCTCTCGGAGAATGTTATAGGGTATTTAATACCCTATTAAAGAGCATTTAAAACCAAAAAAGGCTCCTCCTTTTACCAAAAATGCACCTGCTTTTCTATGACAAAATTGCCAACAGAAGCAACAGTGATCAGTAATCTAATGGCTTCTGATCCAAAACTTGATAGATTCTGTATTATGAGAACACTGGAGGACCAAAGAGGAATAAGAAATGAATTGCAAGAAATATGTCTTCATACAGAATCACAGACAATGAGGGTGTGAAGGGAGCTCAGGAGGTCACATCTAGTCCAATCCCCCTCTCCAAGCAGGACCAGCCCCAGCTACATCATCCCAGACAAGGATTTGTCGAGACCAGTCTTGAAAACCTCCAAGGATGGAGACTCCACCACCTCTCCGGGTAACCTGTTCCAGTGTATTACATATACATTACAGCTCCACGTATATACACACATACCTGGAGCTGTAACACCCAATGAACAAACTATAAAGGAAAACCGAGACTTTGGCAAAAAGGGTCTGCAATTTTACTGTACAGCATTTTCTTTTTTTAAACAAAGATAAGGGTGCTCCATTTGGGCTATTCCAGAAATAGCATAATGACCTGTTCGGTTGTCTGGCCTACCCTAGTGGCACAACCCCACAAGCACTTGTAGACTGCGGGTGACCGACCATACGCTATCTTAGAATCACAGACAAAGAGGGTGGAAGGGAGCTCAGGAGGTCACGTCTAGTCCAACCCCTGCTCCAAGCAGGACCAGCCCCAGCTACATCATCCCAGACGAGGCTCTGTCCAGCTGTGTCTTAAAAACCTCCATGGATGGAGAGTGCACAACTTCTCTGGGGAGCATGCTCCAGTGCTTTACTACCCTCCTCATGAGTACATTTTTCCTAATATCCAACCTCAACCTCCCTTGCTGCAGCTTGAGCCCATTGCTCCTTGTCCTGCCATCTGCCCCCACTGAGACCAGCCCAGCTCCATCCTCTTTGCAGCCCCCCTGCAGGGAGGTGAAGGCTGCTATTCAATCCCCCTCCGTCTTCTCTTCTCCAGACTCAATCAGCCCAGTTCCTCCACTCATCAGTCATGATCCCCAACCCGCGAACCACTCGTGTTGCCCTCCACTAGACTCCCTCCAACTTGTCCATATCCTTTCTGTAGTGGGGGATCACATCTAAAGCCATCTCTCCCCTGTCATACCCTGCTGCACATCCACCACCCCTGGTTTAGAGAGACATCCTTGAAGATGGTTCCCAGCTCTGTAGGCTGTTCCTGTGAAGCGTAGGGGTAAGCTGTAGAGCAGTATGTAAAAAGAACATTCCCCCTGAGTGACAGGGAGGATGAAGGGGCCATCAGAAGCTTAGAAAAAGGCATAGGAGGCAGCTGCAAAGATACCGAGGACAGACATATAGGGTGCCAACCGTCCAAGAAAGTGAGCACTTAAAGCCAACTGTGGAACCGTAACTCTGCCAGTTTGCTGTATTCACGCAGTAACAGGTGAGTGACTGCACATGACTATGTAATTTGGCAGATGCAGTGAATGCTGTATACTGACCCAGTATAGACATATTAGATTAGACATTAGGAGGAACTTCTTCACAGTTCGAGTGGCCAAGGTCTGGAACGGGCTCCCAAGGGAGGTGGTGCTCTCCCCTACCCTGGGGGTCTTCAAGAGGAGGTTAGATAGGCATCTAGCTGGGGTCATCTAGACCCAGCCCTCTTTCCTGCCTATGCAGGGGGTCGGACTCGATGATCTATTGAGGTCCCTTCCGACCCTAACATCTATGAATCTATGACCCATCTCACACATTGGACTGAAAGCTGCCCCTAGTCCCAACCGAACGACTATTTAAAAACCCCATGCACCACAATGTTCAGCTATAACAAGCCCTTTGGCTTCTGACAATTCAGATAAAAATCCATTGTTACCCCAAAATGACTCCAAAAGTTGCACCTAAGTCAGAGGCACCAAGTTATGAAAGCCAACGGGATAAAAAGTGAGAACAAGAGAAAGACTTCCAAAAACTTCGCAAAAGCTGACATTTTCTAAACTCGCACTTCCCCCGTGACTGGTGCAATTAACTCCAGATTTTCCCAAAGCAATTCTCTGCACAGAGAAGAGCACGTGTGAAGCTTCAAATCAGCTAAATTAGCTCGTGAGGAGTTGGGGTGGGGGGGGGGGAAAAATGATGCTGTAACTGGGTTCCCTTTTTAAAATATTTGCCTTTGCACAGTAACCAACACACACCATAAAAGCAAGGACCTCAGAAAGCTCCCCGGAGGGAAAAATCCAACACGCTGGACCCAAAACCTATTAGTGGGTCAGCTGTGCACCCAAAACCTATTACTGGAGCTTTTTAGAACAAGAAAGGGCAAGGGGATGGCTTGCAGAAGCATTCAGTGCTGTTCTTCGTGCCTCCTTCAATGGAGGAATCTCATCTCAGATAGTGGCCAAAAAAGTTTCAGAGGAAGAGATGAGACAATCTATCAAATCCAGGGTAATCTGATCCCTTCTCCCATAAATCCGTCTCATCCTCATCTCTAACAGTTAGAAGCTGGCTTAAGCCCTCAAACACAGCACTTCGTATCCTCTGCCATGATGCTTTTCATCATGAATTGTAACAATATATCAGATAAGATATCCAGACTTGAAAACAACCATTTGTTTTAAATCTCATTCTTTTTTGGCCTAAAGGTTTCCCGCGGCAAGAGGTTTGATAGGCGACTTCCACGTGGCGGGGAAGGAAGCAGCTTTGGGTCGGCCTGCTCTTGTTCACACAGCCCGGAGGAGTTTTGGCAGAGAGCAGCTCTGGGGCACTCACCCCATGCAGCTTCTGTGTTTGCAGCCAAGGGATGGGAGGGGAGGGGTATTTCCAATTAAAAACCTAGAGACACAAGGCTAGCACAGTGGGCCCGCGGACCTTGAGGGCTGACAGCTGCGGGTGCTCTCCGGCGCAGTCCTCAACAGGCACTTGCTCAGAGGAGAATCGCATGCATTTCCCCAGCTCCCTTACAGGTTATTTAACTGCTAGGTGAAAACAATTAATTGCAACAGGGAGTAAATAGGAAGTGGCTTGCATGACTGTGGGAAAAAGCTATCTGTCACCAGCCCGACTGAGGCTAACATGATTACTAATAAGATTTTACACTTTAAGTCAATATACTGGGCATAGAAGCTGCTAAACAAACAGAAAAATTAAGTGATTCCTGTGACTAATATGCAAGAGTAACATAATAGACTAGCATAGTTAAGCAACCCGCATCGCTGCTTCTCCAGTTCCCGAAGCTGATTTATCCTGAGACACCATCTCAATGGCAGCTGAGGACCACAGCCAATAAATGTTACCTGGATCCTGCAAGCCGCCTCGTCTTCCAGCTGGGAATGGGGTCGCTGAAGGACGACAAGGACCCTGAAGGGGAAGCCACATTCTTCTTCACTATCCTATAGCGGGTCTTTATGACTTTATTAGCCGGGGGGCTCCTCACAAGGTGCAGGCTGGACCCTGGAAGAAAGTGAACAGGAGAGCTTGAATTAAAGGAGAGAATTTGAGAAGAGGCCAACCTGCCTGATTCATACCGTCTTGATAAGAGTGACTGCTGGCTAAGACTAAGAACAACACTACTCCTCCATTGAACCAAGTGATCTTCAGCCGGCTCAGTAAGGAACATCCCGCCAACACACACATGCACACACGCGCGCACACCAAAGCATAACACAACCACTCGGATGGTTAATGCAGCATTCAACCTTTTTTCCATCCAAGGCAGGGACAGGCCTAGCAAGAACAGCCGGGTCTGGTGTTGCATTTAACTCAGGGGGTCAGCTAGCATCTGCCTACAGAGACTCTTACGGTGGCAAGTGGGTCACAAATACACTGACCCTGAGAAACAAAAAGAGCAATTCCCGCAGCTGCTCAGCCAAATCTGTTGGAGGGTGAAGGAATGATCTGCCCATGTCAACAGGCACAAGACACTTTGGACGCATCTACACGTGCATTAATGCGCTTTAGCTAATGCGCATTAAATCTAGTACCTCCACTGCGAGATACTAGGAAAATGTGCATTAGCCTGTCTTAATGCATATTATCTAAAGAGCACAGGGCATTTATACACATACCTTTTCGTCCCGTGACACACCGGAGACCCACCGGTTCAGAACAGACTCAATTAGTCGAGTCTGCTCTGCACATGAGCTGATGCGAACTGCGCTGTGCCGCGTGCAGTTGTACAAGCAGCAAAATGTGCATCAGCGCACAGAAAATGCTGGCGGTGAGCTTTTGAACTGAAGCACCTTCTTGGCATTTTAGTTCAAAAGTGCATTGCTGCCATTTTCTCAGCACTGACAAGCATTTCGCCGCCTATACAACTGTAAGTGTCGCAGCACCGGGCACTTTTCAAAGCACCCAGTGCTGCGACACCTGCACGTGTAAAAACACACGGTTTTTAAGTGATGCTTAATGCACATTAGCCTATTTTAATGTGCATTAACTAAACAGCAGGGGGGGGGTTTAGTGATGCATTAATGCGCATTAAAATAGGCTAATGTTCATTAAAGCACACGTGTAGACGCGCCCCTTAGTCCTCAGCTGTACCATTGCACGCTACTGATCAAAATGAGCATCATCCCAACTGTGTATTAAGGAGCAGAAATATTCCAGCCTTCCTAATGTGCAACAGTCCTTGGAGACATTCAAGCCCATTCGGAGAGAACACCTTTATATCCCTGACATCTACATTCGAAACAGATTTATGTATTTAATCATTTTCATTTTCATAATATTTTGCAATATGATCTACACGCTGGTTTATTCTACTGAATGCTTCATGCAATTAACAGTTATATGTTCAACTCTGTTTTTCCTCTACTTGATAGCTCGCAATTTTTTTCACAGCTTTAAGGAATGCGTCTAATTGCCTGACTTTTATAACATACGGCTATAACTGCCCAGATAATTAAAGCTGACACTACATGCTGAGACTAAGTCTTCTGGTTTTATAACTGATTTAAAGGGCTGGCTGTTTTTCTTGGAGATCCTCTAATTAAAATTATTGGAAGGTGGAGAGAGAACGAGACCCACTTTTATTTTTATTTTGAAAACTTTGTGCCTGCCCAATATTCGCCTCTGCCTTACTCGTGTGCTAGCTACACTAGGTGCCTGGTAATAACTAGGTGGTTAGAAGTACGGAGCAGCCACTACAAAGGTGTCTCGACTAGAAAAATGAGCATCGGTAGGAGCGCAGTCAGCTAAGATCCAGTGTAGACAGAGCACATTTCCACTGCGGGGTCATAATATGCCCCAGAGCTGGAACAGAGGGAAAACATTTTCCCCCTGTTCAGCAACTCGATGCCTCTGTCAGGTTCTCAAGGGGTGGAACAGAAAGCGTAGCATGGCCCTTTTCCAGCTTCAGCCGGAGGGTCAGCATCTTTGGCATATGAGAAAGGGGAGAGAAGATGGCTCGACTGGGGAGGTGAGCGGCTAGAGGCCTCACAAATAAAAATAAATGCTGCAACTCTCCCATGAATTATGACATGCAAACGATGACCCCTGAGGAACGCCAAGATGGTTGAGTTAGCCTGCAGAGCGTCACACACACTTCACCCTGCGGAAATCCTCTTTTCTAGGCAGTCAGACTTGGAAAGAGTTCAGTACAAATAACTGGGCTGACTCTCGTCTGGCAAGGCATCTGCCTCCACTGAAGTTCATGCAGCAATGGTAGTCATTTTAAAAGTGCCACATCCTCTTCTGGCAGCTGCAGCTTCTGCTGTTATACGGTAGGGCTGGCATTACAAATATTCAGCGGTTGTATCAGATAAAACCCCATTTTCATTTCACCAAACGCAGGGGTTTACGCAGCCAAGGGGGCAATGCCCAGAGAAGACTGCAGGGCTCGGGTCCTCATACAAAGCAGCAACTTTGGGCAAGCGGATGGATCCGGATCCTATGGGACAAGGGCCTATCCCAGTCTCCTCTTTGTGCAAGTGTCTGTCGCCTACCACAACGTGCTCCACCCTCCAACTAAGGCCTATAGGTCCTAAAACAGAGTGAATAATGAAACTTAGAAATAATGACCCAGTTCAAACAGGCCTTTTGCATTTTTGTGTTATTCAATGGCTTAGCACAAGGGTTTTGATGAGGCTTTACAAGACGGCTGGATCCTGTGCAAAGGCAACCCATGGACCTGGGAGTCGTTGTGGACCGTTTGCTAAAAACATCAGCTCTGCAGCTGTCAAAGCAGCAAATCAGGGTTATTAAGAAGGGAATTGTAACCAAAACGGAGAGCATCATCGTGCCCCTTTATAAATCCATGGTGTGCCCAGCTCTGGTCCCCGCACCTCCAAAAGGAGACAGAAGGACTAGAGACGGTCCAGAGATGGGCAACAAGAATGAGGATGAAGAGTGGCATATGAGGACAGACTAAAGAGGCCAGGCCTGTTCAGTTTAGAAACTGGGGTGGGGAAGGGATATGAGAAGGGTTTACAAAGTACTAAATGGTGAGGAGAAAGTCAATAGGGATTTATTATTGCCTCTCTCTCACCAGACAAGAACTAGGGGCACAGCATCAAATTAGGAAGTTTAAAACTAACCCCGGGAAGTTCTCTCTCACCCAGCGCGGTATTAAAGGGTGGGAGTCATTGTCACCAGAGGTGGAGGGAGCTGAGAGACTAGCCAGATTCAAAAAAAGGGAGTGGACACATGCTCAATACTGATGTCCCTTTCCTCTAAGCACAGGAGCGATGGCCACAGCCTCCAAACCGGAGCTTCCTGGACCCCAAACGCTGGAGGCTGCAAGTGAGAGAGGAACAGGGAGGAAACCCTGGTCAGACCCAGCTCACTCTCCCTCCCAGCCTCCGCTCTCTGCCGCAGGATGCTGGGCAAGATGGACCTGTGGTCTGACCCGGTACACGGCAGTTCTTATGTTCTCATTATGCAATTTCCCATTGCCGATGAGTATTAATAAAAACAGCAATGCTACAAAGAGTATTAAAGACATGAAAAAGGGCATGTCAAGTGTCTAATGCCCCAAAAGTCAGGAAGGTAAAGCCAGCAGCTTCATGGTTTAAAAAAAAAAAAAAGAGTCTGGTTATAAAGAAATAAAACAAGTTGAATAAATTAAGTCTTCCTGGGAGTTCTCCTCTGCCCTCTTTAACGAACAGTGATGCATATTGCCAAGACCCGTGTTTCCGAGAGATCCCATTCCCCGCACCTGCAGAAATCTCAGGTTTTCATAAGTAGCTCAAAAAACTGTGACCAGGACTGCAACAGGATGGAATAAATGGTGGAAGCAGGAATATCGCAAGACCCTGTTCACACGTGACCAATTCAAGCCGCTTATCAAGCCCCGTCCTGCTCCAGCACGTAGGACGCATAGCTTCAGCCTTCCTTAAGGGCCAAGTCGAGCAGATCTCTGCTGCGCTGTACTCATTAGGTTCCCAAATTTGGACCGTTTCGCAGTAAGACAAGAAAGCAAGCCCCCGAGCCTTCGCGGCGGGTTCTAAAAACCACACCAGGCCCTCCACATTTTTCCAACTATTTTTCCAACGATTTAGTGGATCTAATAAAAGGTATCAGATTTACCCAAAGAACCTTGTCGGCCAGGCCCCCCTCCACTGTGTTGTCCTCAGGATGTCAGGAATTGGGGGAAATAAAGATTTTTTTAAAAAGGGGTAGGGGCGGCACCAGAATCTCTCCTTCCCCAAACAGCCTCAAAGATCCTCATTCTCCTTTTACATGATGGTGCTGGCAAAGCTCCTAAAACACGTGGCCAACATCCCCTTGCCACAGAACGGGAAAGCAATGCTCGTGCCGACGCGCCCCAGCCATGCTGCTTCCCAAGATTTAATAATGATGTCCCTAGAGACCCTTTTTCAGGTCTTAAAGGGCTTCTGGGACATAAGCTCCCATACCAGTGCCAAGGAGGACGCTAAACCCAGAGGTCCTGGCTTTCCCCAGCTCTCTCGCTTTTCCGAGCCTCACACATGCGTGTCCTTGCATGTTCACATCCCTGTAAGCATTTACCTAAGCAGGCTCTTTCACGGCTGAATAATAGCTAAACATTAGTTGACTCTTTGCCTCCCATGTTCTGACCTTACACAATTACTAAGCTGGGGATTTGCCGAATACATTATTGAGCATTTTTTGTGCTTTTACAAGCTCTCGCTGCTGCTAATCAATCAGCAGCCCAATCAAACTCCGCTCTGGCACCCCTCACTTCCTCGCACGTACAAGTCGCGGAAGAAATAGAGGTCCCAAATTGTTGCGGCTTTCAGTCTCGTCCCCGTCCCACCCCCCCACCAACATATAGACAGACGGGCACCTGGTAAACTCTATTCCACGGCAGTAATTGGATGTTGTATTCATACAGGAGCTGCTCTTCTGATTCTGCCTGTGTGCAAGTCCCTAGCATTAACCACGTTCTGAAAGAGACTCTCCGAAGCAGCTCAGTTTTCTATTATTACTTGCTAGCTGAGGGGTTTTGTGTAGATAATCATGTTATTTAGATA